TTTAAAATTGATATTAGAAACATCAAACTTTCTTCTTTCAGGCTCAAAACTTTTTCCAAAAAAGAAATAAACAAATAGACAGACAGACGCACACACACACACACACATACACACATATAAGCACATGCATGTCTACACGCATATATACGCACTTATTTGCATACGTTAAACAAAAGATATGCCTAGGCCAAATATTTTGGTTGTTTACTTCATAAAACTGGCCTAGGAAGTGCACGTTATATGTGTTTAAGAAGCCTATTCTATTTCCAAGTAATTCTTTTTTTGGAGCCCATAACTGCCCTGTACTATTTCTTTACCTTCTTCCCCTCTTTCATCTCACATAAATGTCAATTCAAATTTTCGTTTCAAAACTCTTAAAAATGCTTAGGATTCAGTTTTGGCTGTTGTCGATGAAGTTCCATCAACTCTATCATTTACGACACTTCTCATTGTACATTTACAGTTTAATTAAGCTTACTTTTTCATTCCACTGTATTGTTATATACCTTCTAAGGTGTTTGAAATTTCATTTCTCTTCACATCTAAATGAAACATTTGACTGAGAAACTTTACAAGAGTTAAACAACTAATTAGGAATTGAATTTTGACTTGCATAAGTTGAACAATCAGTCAATTTTAATTTCAAGACAATTTAAAATCATCTCAAACTACGTAAACATTATAAATAGGGTGGATGGAATCATGAACTTTTAATTTTAAACAATTTAATGAGCAGTTAATGCAAAAGATGTATTGCATACATTTTACTTACAGAAAATTTTGTTAACAAACTTATTACAGAGAGCCTTACAAAATAATTAAAAATTGTCAAAAAAATTCAATTTTGAGAAAATTTTTTGCAATGAACAATTTTTCCATTTCTTTTGCAGGGAAAATCCTGACAAAATTAATGTGTTTAATTCAGATTGTTTGAGTCCTTATTGGATTCTGTCGCTGTTATTCAAGACATTGAAATAATGGCAGTAAAAGTTCTAATCACGATCGGATACGAATTATTGTTAATTCAGTTGACAGAAAATGAAGCACGAAGTTACTAAGTAAATCAACTGTTAAAGTTATCATCAATCGATATTATTAAATTATCACATAATTGTAGTGCTTTCCTTCTGCTAACTGTATGTTAAATTGAATTTGAAAGTTAACTGTCGATTATTAATTCATTACAAACTCATAAATCTGCCATTGCTCTCTTTGATCGAATTAAAATTTATTACAACGAGGATATATTTACGTTACGATGGATTTTTAGAAAGTTGAAGGTCAAAAGCAAAGTACTAAAAGAAGTATACTCAGTAATGTTAAAATCGGTAGTTGCTTTTTTTCCGAATTTCATGATCATAGGTTGACAAATAGTTGGATTGGGACATTTTCGCCCCTTCCTCCGTGAAAAATCTTCATGTACTTCAGTCTAATGCTCTCTCGAGGATTTGAAAAAAAAATTTCCCTTCATCTTTCCTTCTTTCAGTTCTCAATAATTTAAAATGATGAAAATCGATCCCTTGATCTAACCCTTTTTATTGTCATCTCCCGTCTGATTAATTTCAAAATTGAAGATGTCTTCATTTGATATCGTTAGTGAACTTCTATTCCCCTTTCCTTTCCTTTTTCAATTTTCAATTTAATTTCAACAACAAAAAAAAACATTAAACAACACCCACACTTTAACAACAATGACACGTTTAACTGAAACATGCTTGAAATTGTTTTTTTTTTTTTTAAATTATTGAAACTTTAGGCTTTTAAGGTATGATATTTCTTTTTTGATGTTTTATCGTGGTATCTGTCCTCAGATTATATATGTTTATTGCTACGACCTCTAATTTACTCGGGTCATTCAGCTCAGCATGTCATTCGGTTCTGCTACGAGTGCATGCATGTCAAATGCGCCTGCTAATATTTGACGAAGCACATGTTGTCAGCTCAACCGTCTCATTTCTTCAATTCAACAATTGTTTGTTTTTGAATTTATTGGTAATTATTCCCGAAGAATCAACTCTGTTGTGATAGTTTTCTCTTATTTGTTATTCTCCTTCTCCTTATTATGTAATGACAAAATATCAACCATCGCTCTGTTGACAAATTGAAGCGCATTGGACCATGTAGTGCATCATTTATAATAGCTTAAAATTTAGCTCCGGCGTCAAGGACCTCTCTGGTGTAGAGAATACTTGGAAAACAAATTGAGCTGATCATTTGACAAATAAAAATAACCAATGACGACAAACGAAAAAATCCTTTAGAGGCCTATTATATGCGATAGGCACAGATTGATAGTATTGAAGAATATTCAAATGATAATAGGTTTTTTTCCAAAGATAATTAGTGATAGGCAAAATAGGCTGTTCAAAATAACTATTCAAAAATGCATTCTGTTTTTTGTTTTGTAATAATTCCTCAAAAATTTTTTCAGTTTTTATGCATTTTATTCAAACTTTCATTTTCTAAATATTTTAATGGCAGAAATATTTTCAAATGGAAATCGTAAAATATTTCACTTTAAAAATATTTTTTAATGGCTTTTAATGGAAAAATAATAATCTTAATTCCATTTACATTAATGCTAATCAAAGCAAACTATTTGTACTGACTGAAATGACAATGTAATTTGTGCATGAAAATTCGTAAACGATATTAGAATATAGTACAGTATTCCCAACTGTTTAAGCTTAATAAATGACCATCAATCTAATAATATCTACTTATCAGGTAATCAATATGAAATGAGCTATAATTACTGTTAGGCAATAAAGAAGAGATCAATACTTGAGAATAGTTACCACAACAACAAGAATAGTAGTCATTTGAGGATCTATGCATACTAGGTTAGCTATATAAACTGCTTCTATGCTTTTATCAACTTTAGCCAGGTGTTACACAATGTCATTTGATAGTTTCGTACATCATCTTCATTAAGATAAACTATCACTCTTTCTTATCAAGAAAAAACAGGAAGATCCTCTTTTGCGAAGTTTTATTTTTGCTCCAATCATCTCCAAACTTTTTTTTTTTTATATTGGCACTGCAACAAATGCTTTCATGTCACTGAGATAATTAGCATTTTCCTCCCAAATGAGTTTTAAGTGCTTTTTTAATTTCGTCTTCTTGTTTTTCTTCAAGTCTCCTGTATAGCAGCAGTATAAATCAGAGTGTCCAGGTTGTTGTATCTTTCAGATTCAATGCTAATTTGTATTTTAAAGGTCGCAAAGTGTTTTAAACTCCTCGTTTGTCACCTGTTTTGGTTCATCTTTCCACTTTTTCTGACAATCTGTAATCCATTTTTATAATTTGGAAAGTAGCAACTAAAGCCCGCTAATAAATGGCCAATGATTTTATCGTATTGGTCACTTAAACCACACTTTCTATTGATTGATAATTTTCAATTTACTTTTTGAATTAATTTGGATGCAACGCTTAGTCTTGTACCACTTTACAGTTGGACAATAGCTGGACACATATATTTGGTTAGAAACCGTACGCCTTTATTCGTACCACAATAAATTCATTTTTCGCCTTTCATAAATTTGGATCATTTCTTTACTGATTTTTTTGTTCCTTTAAATCATGAATGATTTTATCGTCTCTGTCAATATTTTAAATAAAAAAAAAAACCTGTAATTAACACAATTTATTCGTTTAATTCAATGATACTCAAAAGTATTATTCCATCAATTACCCTATCTGTTTGCAATACACCTTTAAAGTAAACGACCACTGTGTCATTCACAAATGTGAACTACTAATACGATTGGTCAAATTCTGGAACTGATCAGTTCTTAACGCTTCTTGTTTAATTATTTTAATCCCTTATAGATCTTTTGACCTTTTCACTGCTTACTTTAAACTCATCTCAAACATCTTGTCAAATTCGGTGGTATGTCAAATGTCAAAATATGCTGTGTTTACGGTATATTTCACTATTTCGCGAATACACAAACACTTCACGTATGTTTATACTGAGTTTCTCGAACGTTATGCTATGCAATATTTCTTGCTGCGCTAATTATCGCACTGTTTCACCGTCCCATAACTTCAATTACTGCTTTTGATTTTGATCAGATATTACACAATTGATTTTAATTTTCTTTTACTAAACTTTTTAAATGATTAAGACTTTTCCTTTCCTTACCTGTAGGTGCAATCTACCTGATGTCAACCTATCTTTATTCTGTGTCTGTTGATTTCTTCACCTATAACTATTGCCTGTTTTATTCCCTCTAAACCAGTTTAATATCAAATTTGTAACCTGAACAGCAAACATATATGAGATCATGCAAGCAGCACAAATATGAAATGATTTAAATCAATTTCGATTTCGATGATCGACTAAGTTCAATCTTCTCCTACAATGAGCGATGCGTTAATGAATAATAGCAAGTGGTAAATAAATAATTAAAAGTTAATCGTTTCGAAGGAATTGCTGCTTCGTGCGGCTTTGTCCATTCTCCAAAAGAAGCTTATAAAGCAGACATCTGCTGTTAATCTTTGTGGATAGATGCAGAAATAGTTTTCTATTTTGCAAAACATATGCCATTTTCAAGGTCCTGTTCCATCAACTAAAGGAATGAATAAGAGACAGAGAGGAAAAGAAAAAAAGAAAGGGAGAGAGAGAAAAAGGAATATTTTCCCATATATTTTTACTTATTTTATCTCTCCTTACCTTTTTCATGTCATTTTACCTTTCCTGCTGTCACTCTTGGTCTCGATTCCATTTTTTTTTCCAACCGATTTACTCTTCTTACTGTCACATAGAAGATCTTTTAGTATCAGTCTCTTTGTAATATTTCTATTCCCCTCCCCCCTCCCTACTGGCTATTTTTCTCTCCCTCTTTTCTTCTCAAAACTATCTGATCATCTGGTCATTTCAAGATAAAGGACTGAGAGACTGATCAGGCTCAGATTGATCAAGCTGATCAAATGTAATACTGCAGCATAGCCATCATCATCATCTTCAATAATCATCATCATCATCATTATCATCTTCAATAATCATCATCATCATCATCATCATCATCATCATCATCATCATCATCATGGTTAGACTTCGCGAACGAAGATTTGATAAGGGTTGAACTCATGCTTGTTGCAAACACAACAAATGCAAGTTTATCTTCCAGCTTGCGTAGTGGATTTTTTAGGTGAGACACAGCGTGCACCGAATTGGTCCACTTTTTATTCTTAAAGTTCATTTGCCAGGTTTTAACGAGCTAGGACAATGACAGTGAAATTCGCAGAACGTAGATTTTGTCAAAATATCCTTCTATTAGATGGATGGCCTTACACGGCTAACTAAGTCTGATTTGCCCAGGGTTGGAGTTAGAGTTATCACTCTTCCAGGATGATTGTCAGGTGGTTAGCGAGCCCATCCTGTTCGCCCGTTTTGGTCGTAGAGTTGAGATTTGTCTGACACTGGACATCCAACTGGAGGAGGCACATGCCACCGAAAGCATAGCACGCAAGCTTCGCCACCGCGACGAGGAAATGTCGTGGAGAAACTGAAGCATAGTAACTATGGGATTAACTTCCATTACTATTTTGCATACTATTTTGTGCATTTATACAGCACTTCCCGCATCTCATGAAGCAACACGCAACCATTACCCGACCGCTTTCCCGGTTTTCTGGGTAATTTATATAGCACCTTCAACGCTGTTAACATCATCATTACAATAATTTATCATTAATCTCTACTTCCATAACGAATGATAACAATTTGGGTCAAAGTGTTTGTCTCCGGTTTTTTTGCTGTTTTCGCTTTGACGAAGCCTTCAAGTATTCATAAACAGAATATGACTATCAACTAACAACTCTGACTCACTCTCAGCTTTACATCATTTGTGTTTTTAAATAATTAGCGAAATGCCATAAATGTTGGACATAACTCTTAATTTCTGGACGATATGCGTTCGGTTCATAATTTTATCTAATGATAACCAAAAATAGTTTGTAAAAAACAGTTTGTGAAATGCTGCTCTAAAGAGAGGTCATAACAGTAAGCTGTTATGACCTCTCTTTAGAGCAGCATTTCAAAATTGACATTATTGATACGTAATCACTGCTGCTTGATAAAGTATTGTTAAACAAACTAGTACATAGCACTGATAACAACAGTTGTAATAGAAAAAGAAATGTGATCGAGTGCGACTGTCCATTAATTTTGCCTAGGATAAAATGCAGCCCTGTTCAACAGCTGCATTGCACCAATTTTTGCCAGTCATTTCAATATCTCTGTTAACTTTGGTTGTAAACATCGTCAATCGTACTTTCCCGTTCCATTTTCCACTCGGTCGTTTCTATGACCTCAAACTTATCTTCAAACTTCCGGTCCGGCAATCATTCGGAATTCAACATTACAACTATTTCCTAAATTTGTTCGTTTGTTTATTTGCTGTGCTACTCTCAAATATCATTATATGGCCAGATGATTTAATTTAGCCATTATTTTTCGTAAATTTCTTTAAACATTATGTTTTTGAAGATATTTGCGCCCTTACCTATTAAAAGTAGCAAAAATTTCATTCCTTTAAGATTTTTTTTTCCCATTTTTGCCTATCATTTTTTCGTTCTTTCCCATTTGGTCTTTTCAAAACATTTCATTTTCATGTTTATGGGTAACTTATCAAAAATAATCCTTTCTGATAATGTCCAATAATCAAAGGAATTCATCATCATTCTAAATTATTCTTACGACAAAATGAGTCATAATTTATTTTAATTTAAAATGATTCTCTCAAATCTTTATCTTTTTATCTCAATGACTTTCAACTATCCTCTGCTCTTTTCCCTACCTCTCCCTACCCCAAACTAATCTCTATTTCTTTATTTTAAAATCCTTTATGTCTTGTGGATATTCAATAAGCGGAAAACTTTCACATGCGTTCATTCTACTTATGTTTTGATAATCTTTGCCGAAAAAAGAGGAAAAAAAAAGATCAAAAAATTCAAATAATTTTTAAAAATTTTAACAGCCACCGGAAAGAATATCAAATAGATTCATTCACCACTAATTACTAATTAATAAAACTATTTATTTACAGATGTCATAAATCAGTCACTCTTTATGAACAAACAAACACAGTTTCTTTTTCATTAACTTTTGGGAAAAATGAACTGAGTTGATTGGAATTACATTTCAGTGAAATTCTCACTTCTCACCTATCTTAACCAAAAGTTTTAAATAACAAAAGATAGGTTCTGTTCTAAATAGCAACAACAGCTATATTTTAATAAAAGTTTTCCTGTCACTATTTAATGTCCTCTCTCCTTCTCATCCTTCATTCTTTCCTCTTCCTTCTCTCTTTCTTTTTTTTACCTTATGCATATTTTCACCTTAGTTGAATTTGATTATCCATCTCATTTGTGTTTATTAATTACAAGTCCGATAATCAAGAAATAACAATAACTTGTCACTGATAAATTATTGTCACAAAGATAAATATAAGAAACTTATTTGTGGGAATTATTGAAGCATACCCACTAATCGATCAATAATTTTTTTGGAAAGGTCAACAACGTAGGTCATTCAGGTACTTCTTTCCAATTATCTGAAAATGGCATATTTAAAACAATGGAATCATATTCTCTGCGAACTCTTTTATCTGTTGTGTGAGATAAAAGTAATAATCTCAGACAATCAGACTTGACTTCATATTTTTAATTTCTAGGATGAATTATTTAGGATCAAAGATTTCTTCTTCTTCCAGTTGTTCGGTTCGGTTATTTTTTCAATGGTAGTTGATACTTCGAAGTATTACGCCCTTATGAAAGAAAGCCTTTAAAACATTTTTTGTAATCAAAACGAGCAAATCAGGATTTCGAAAAAAAAAATAGATTTTATGCTAGCATTGCTTTCCTCAGATAAACCAAATTCTTCAGCCTGATTTTTTCGCGAATATACTGGCCATAGCTCAGAATGTAAAAGCTCAATTCAGATGTATAAAAGAGTTTTATGCTTTGTTTACCTTATAATCGAGCAAAGATTCACCACATTCACTATTTAATTTATTTGAAAGCTTTAATGTGAGTGGTTAACTAATTGTAGATATTAGCATGTGTTCCTCATTTGAACTGTATTTACACAATGGGAAACTTTATAAACTTGCATATTATAGTCGAAAAATTAAATAAAAGTTGTTACATTCTCATTGGTTCTTGTGCAGAATAGCTTGAGATAATAAGTCTTGAGATAATTTTTCCTTCCACTTGTTTGCGGCATAACATTTGTCCACTATTGGAAAACAAGTCAAAGAATGTCATCATCCTTTATTATTATTATTATTATTATTATTATTATTATTATTATTATTATTATTATTATTATTATTATTATTATTATTA